TTCACTATTTTCCTCCTTGGAAACAACGCGAGGAGGCTAAGCTATCGGATCTCACAAAAAGAAAACGAATGTCCTGGGTGTCAGCGGTTGAGACGTCCTGATATCACCTTCTCCAACATCCCCCTACAAGTTTCTTCCAGACATTTCCATTCTGGTGAGTGTCTAAATTTGCTTTGTTGATGTGTCATAATTTTTTGCCATGATTTTGTCCGAGTGTTCATCTTACGTTTATGTTGAGTTCATTTAAGTGGGTCAACCTTGCTTAGGTCAGGCTTATATTATACCGCTTATGTAGCATAGTCCGAGTTTTGTCAGTGGACATCGAGGTTCTTACATTATTGTGAAGTAAACTATTTAATTTTTTTTGTGTGTGTTATCAGATTTACAGTATTAATACTGATGTGTGTTCTGATATGTCCTCTTAAAGGAAAACCGACGTATGAAATGGATGAGCTCAATCCTGACTGGGTTCCAGTGCTGAATATGGGTCACTGCGAGGTAAACGACACAACATCGGACTGACATGGGCGTCAATTAAAGAGGCGATACAGCAAGACCGTGGTGGATCAACAAGTTACAGAGACTGTTTTTATTATTTACCCCAGAAGAGGTAAATAATGAAAACACAGTAGCAGAGGCAACAGAAGAGGAGCAAGTTGGAGAGGCTGAGGAGGAAGGAACCCCAGGAGAGGAGCTCAGCAAGGCTGCAGACTCTGAAGAGGAACAGGAACCATTTGTGTTGAAATATGTGTACAGTTGGAAGTGGCTGTTTTCTCTCATTTAATAATTTAATGTTGTAAACATTCATGAATCGTTTGATTCAAGCACTTCAAGTTGCATGTAAATAGGTGAAGTAATGAATCACATTTTAAGTAACAATTTGATATTTAAATATTCAGGTAATAAACATACATGTAATGAGATTATATTTTTAAATATTTTATGTGATTAAAGTAAACAATTATACAATCAGACATCTGTCAGGACACTGACAGATGTTTTGCTTTTCATTTTATTTAGCTTCATGTTTTAATTCACTAGTTCACTAGTTTAGCCCTTCATGGTCCTTTTGACATTATTAGAGGTATTTAGTGTAGTTAGAATTATATTATTGCTTTTCCTTGTTTGTCTGAGTCCATGTCCAGCCTTTAATGACTATAGTTTAATTCTATTTTATCTTTCTAGTTCTTATTTCAGCCTCCCTGCAGGGTTTCTAGTAATGTTTATTTCTTAATTTGATCACCATAGGTTCAGTTATTCTTCCACGTCTGAGTCTGTATCTTTCTTTAGTAATTCTAGTTGGGTTATTTCTTTTAGATCTTCTAGTTTCTCTTGCTCTGTGTTCCTTAGTTCTTATTGTTAGATCAGCCTTGTTTCTATTTAGGTTCGGTTATGGTTTCCCTCATATCTTTCTCTTCTAGTTCACCAGGTTTTCTTTACTCTTAGTGTCTTATGTATTAGAAGT